TTTTTTTTTTTTTTTGTCAATCAATATCCTTCTATTATAAGGGTGTTGTTTGTTGGGCAGGTACTTGTAATTTTGAAATACAAGGGGTGTACTTAGTAATTTTCAAGAGTAGATAATTTCAGGGCTTTTATGCATCATTTTTTGGTAGCTAACTGGGGCTTGAAAACACCCTCTCCATCATTGATTTTGCGCGACTGAAGGTTATTGCGTTAAATAATGATCATGCCTTGCTTTCCCACTGCAGGTGGTTTTGTGGCTCACATTGGATTTCTCGACAAAAGCATCAAAGCCCGGGCTGAAGGTTTTCTCAGTAGCATCACAAACTCGTTCGAAATTGTCCTACGCCACAACGTGGAGGTCCAAATGATCCTATTGCCCGAGTCTTTTGGTGAAAAACATACAGAGTCAAATAAAAACACATCCCTCCCTGATTTGCCTGAAACCCGTCAAACCAAGCCTGTCGGGCCCATTTCCGAAATTCCAAACACGAGCACTGCCAAGTCAGAAAAATTTCCCGGGAAAAGAATCGAGTCAATCATTCACGAGCAAAGACTGGAGACTGCATGGTTGCAGGCCGTGGACAGGGGCACTCCCCGGTCAGCTGGGGCCCGTTTGAGGCCCGAGAGGAATCAAGTGCTCCCACAGGATGGGATGAACGAATCAGGGCCGTTGGATCATGTGGAGCAGTGGGAAGATGAGTTGAACCGTGAGATTAAGGCCTTGAAGGTTAATGAGGGAATGGTGAGCCCACACAAGGATCAGATTGTTGCTAGGAGGGTCGATCACTACCCCATATCGCCCAGCTTTTTGCATAATAGCAGCTTCACTCGAGATAACATGTGAGTCTTACAAAATATTGTAGTCCTGAGTTCCCCATGGGATCACCAATATTTAATTCTTCTCTCATTTTCTTTTAAAATTTAGTTGTTTTATTTTGTTATATACTTTGTAGGGGATACGAATCCGGACCAGGAGGAGCCGGTTGCGGTGGGATGTTCTGCTGGAACAACAGTAGAACTGAAAGAAGCCGAAAGGTACTTACTAAATTTCACATTTATCCTCAAATCTTGCATGTAAAGAATCAAATCATGTATTATTAATTACAAAACTACTCCATTGATTTTTTGCCTGATTTTTTTTTTTGTTATGTTTTGGAAATTACGAATACTATTTAGACGCCCTCTTGTTTTACCAATTACTCGAATCGTAGTTTGCAAAATCGAGACGTTTTCGTGTGGGGTATCTTTCGATTTTTGTATAAGAAGTAACATTTTGCCTCATAACTCCTTTTCACACAGGTGCTGCAAAACCAGACTAAGCCAGGAACACCACCGCTGCCCGGGCACAAAAGCAGTCGGTTTTCGTGGTTTGGAGAGTGTGCAAAATCAAGGAGAGGCAGCAGATACAATAGATAACACATACAAACCGCACGAATGTGATGTTTTTAAGCCGACGCTTCATGTTTCGTACCAGGATATTTTGTGTATTTATGGTGTTAGCCCCTCTTAAGAACACATGAATATGACAAGAGAACATTGGTTGAAGTTTGGTGTAAAGTTTTAGTGCATTAGGGGCCTCTTTGCAAATTTTTGTAGGTCCTGCAGATTCGACGGCATCAAATATGAATAAATCCGACAGCCATCAGAAGTGTTTAGAGCGTAAAAGTTACAAGATTCTTGGAGACACTGTACTGTTCTTTAATGGATTTTGTTTTTTGCATGCTAAATTTTGACTCCAAATTTTAAGGGTAAGAATTTTCGGAGGAGAAAAAAAGTGACTGTAAATTGTAAAATCTTTGGGGGATATTTCACTCAGAGGGATATTACAGTTAAATAATATTTTTGGAGAAATTTTTTTCACAAGTTCTGATTTTTTTATGTTGTTGAATATTTCAATATTTCTTTGACGTTTATTAAGAGTTTATATATGAACAGAAAAAACTTTTAGTCTAAAAAAACGGTTGGCGAGTCCCCTGCCCGGAGCGCACGTTAGGTTACACCATGATAGGTTGGGCGTGTCCTACCTTCGGTCGGTACCTAACCATGATAGGTTGGGCGTGTCCTACCTTCGGTCGGTTCTAGTTTAGGTTTTGCTAGCCTCCATTTCTTGCACAAAAAAAAAAAAAAAAATTAGTCATGTCACGAGATCTGATAATATAAAAATGTTCTAAACTATAAAAAGCTAAACGTAAACTTAAAAGAAGAAATAGTTCATAAATTTACAATATATATATATATATATATATATAGTTTTTTTGTAAAATTAATTTTTTTTTATAAGAATTATATTTCTGCAAAATGTTTTAAAAAATGTAGTATATATGTAAATTAGCCTATGTAAAAATAAAAATACTATCTCAAGAGTTAAAAAAAGGTCCAGTTTTTTTCTTGAGCTTTATGTTGGAGGCCCAACTGGCTGCTTATCATCTTCTAGCCCAGCCTTCTAAGGATAAGGCCCAAATGTTTGTGCAAAATTGAATGGCCACCGGCCAGTACACAAGTCGACGCTTCCCTTTGCATTTTCACCTGAAAGGGGAAAAACTTGGAAGAACGAACGAGCACCAGCTAGCAGCGCTAATGGCGAAGCCACTGGGACCCACAGGAGAGTTTTTCAGGCGGCGCGACGCGTGGCGGAAGCACCCCATGCTGAGCAATCAGTGGCGCCACGCAACCCCCGGCCTTGGCATCGCCGTCGTCGCCTTCGGCATCTACCTCGTCGGCGAGGCCGCCTACAACAAGATCTACGCGGCCCCTAAGTCTCATTCTCAATCCACCTCCTCTGCTTCGCACTGAGACCAGCAATGGCTTCATCTCATGGTACGTGTGGTCCAGTCTGCTTCATTTCTATGACACTCCCATCATTTTAATGGTGTTGGAACACTCACGGTTCTTATTGTTTATAAAGATGGAAATTTGGATATCGATGGATGTGTTGATTGCGAGCTTGTTGCCTGATGTGGTGTTTTGATTGATCATGCGGTGCTTTTTATTTGTCGTTTCTGTGGGCTAGGGTTTTTGTTCTCTTGAGGTGTTGGGTGATGTGCAAATTGATGCGATAAAGCCCTCTTAGTAGCAATCGATTTCATTACATGCATATTTCCTGTGAACTCGAGTGCATTTGTTTGTGAAATATAGCTGCAGAATTGTTGTGAAGACTCAATTAGATGCTGAGTCTAGTTGAAAAGAAAACAAGACATTGGAGACAAGCCCTATAACCAATCGGTCGTCAATGGATTGGGCTAGAACTCGTATTGGCTACCTCCATTGCACTGTCCCTTTCTTCTTTTTGCTACAGGCGATAAATCTTATCCCTTCTTGTTCTGGAGCTTCTGGATTTTGGAGCAGCTTATGCAATTTATTGAGTTCTGAACTGCTTACGAAGTTCTTCCAAAATACCAAGTGAAAAGTTTCTGAGCCAAATGCTATTCCTCATTGCAGTGTATTGTGCCAGCCTTAGTGTCATTGAGTTCTCCAAAAAAAGTAGGTGGGTTGTAACAAAACAATAGTTCCAAGGCACGATCATGGTTTTCTTGCACATTAGTTTGGTGCTTCAAGGAAATTCACTAGTTTAGTGATCGTTTGAGCTGTTAGATTAGGCAGCAACCTGATATAACAAGGCAGTAGGTGGCTGCCTAGGGTGACCATTGCTAAGGGAGGTAAAGGTGCTCGACCTCGACCATCTAGAGTATAACTCTAATCAGTAAAAAAGATAACATGATGATTAGAAATAAAGAGTCATTTAATAATCAACAAAACTAAAACAAAATTAGTTATATAACGGCTGTATAGCGCAGCTCGTCATATCAATAACATGAGTGAAGGGAAACAAGTTGAGTGCTTGTGTCATGTGTCAAAAGAACTTGGTATCATGTAGACTCTTATTCGTTCTTTTTCTTGTAAGTAGCATATTTGCATAATTGTTTCATACATATACTTAAGTCCAACTACAAGATTAATGGAGTAGTTATAAAAAGTAAAATCAGGTAAATGGTAATAGAATTGCTAACATGTTCTTATACTTGCTGAAAAATATATCACATGTAATTGCATGAGTATCAACTCTCTTTACAAATCGAATGGAACAAAATATATGAAGAAACTCTAGTTTTGTTGCCTTGTAACGAGACTGAAACTTATCTTTTGTACTCGATTTAATGATTTTTGGATTCAATGTTGACTCTTTAACTTATCCTGCTTGACTAGTTACTGATTAATTGTTATTGTCGTTTTTTCCTCGCTAAATGATTGTGTCTCCTCCAGTTCGCCTTACTTGGCTGCAATTTCGATCCTGGTCTTTGCCCATGATTTTCTTTTTGTAACAAACAAATTTATGTGGAGCTGTCTAGCAGGCAACTTATGATATTCTGCCTCATTGTGCCGGGCAACTATATTGGCTATTTTCTGTCACTTAGATGGATTTCAAACAAACCCGGTATTATTTAACAGCGATGTCCTTTGTTCTTTTGCCCCCTCAAGTCTTATAAGAATGATTTAGAAATAGAGTTCCAGTCGTTGTGTCTAGAAAGACCAATGTTAATATGTCCAATGTCTAGAAAAAAATGTTGGCATAGGTTTAAAGGCTCTACTTAACGTCGGTGCTTGTTGGTAAATGCCTCATTTGCTGGATAGTGGATATGCTAGGAACACAAATTCCACTATGTTTGGAAAAATGTGATACTTATCGTTTTATAAACTTCATTCACTTTTGTTCCAGCATGTTTTGTACTGATTGTGACAGTATTAAGGAGATTCATCTGTTACGAGGTAATGCATTTCTTTCATCTTTGTTACTATCAATGGCTGCAGATAAGCTTAGCCGAAATAAACTTGAAAAGGATATGACCGTAGATTTAGCATGATAGTTTTGTTGATCTATGGGCCGTCTCTGATTTGCACACACGAGAGTATTTATTGTACGAGTATGAATGAGTATATTCGTTGGTTTGAACAGTGGGAGCAGAAATTCACTCTGAGATTTGTTATTTGCTATTGTTGATGATGCAGGTGAGGGTGTGGTGGCGAAGATTGAAGTATTTTAATGTTTCTCACTTTCTCTTTGCTTTATTTTCGAGTTAAAATAATGGATTTCATATCTTCAACTTTGTTTTATGTATGAGATACAAAGAACAATGTTTGGTAAGGGATTGTCAATATGACTTGTAATCTCTCTCTCTCTCTCTCTCTCTCTCTCTCTCTCTCTCTCTCTCTCTCTCTCCCTCCCTCTCTCTCTCTCTCTCTCTCTCTCCTCCCTCTCTCTCTCTTTCTCTCTCTCTCTATCTCTCTCTCTCTCTCTCTCTCAAACTAATTAATTAATTTGATGATCTCGGACTTGGCATTAATATATGTAAAAAATGAGTAATTATACTTAATGATGTACATAGGATTAAAATTTATCTATTGTTGTTTCTGATTGGAAAATGAAGACTAGGTTAATAATTTATCTTATAAGCAAATTATGGTACAATATATAACAATATATATTTCATTAAAAAAAAAAATAATAATAATAGTAAAATAACTTTTAAATATTTTGTAATAAAATTGAAAATATATGTAGTCAATGGGTGGTATTAGAATGTTCCTCATTCTATTCGTGGGATAAATATTAGTACATTAATTATTCCATGCAAACAGCTTTTTACATTAATTAACAAAATAAATAATATGCTACAGAAATCCATTATGTCTCATTTACACAATTTTTTCTTGAATATATCGTCTTTTTTATGTGTGTATATATATTTTGCTAATTACAAATTATTGTATGAATCGGCCAAATGATTTAGTGGGTCGATTCTTCATACTTCTTGATAAAAAAAATGCAAGCTTATACTAAAATATATTATATTATTAGTTATATTACTTTCACTATAGATTATTTATTTTATTATATATAAAAGTATATATATTTGTTGAAGAAAATATAATTATCTAATATAATTATCATAACTTTATAAAAATAAACTTATCCGCGTCTACCATCATTGCCAATTCATATATTATTGACCTAAGTTCTCAATACAGTAATTGAATAATATTTGTATGACTTATAGGAAAATGTTACAGTCCCGTTACGAAACTATTATGTCGAGATTTGTAAATGTTAAATTAACTATCCAACGATTTTATGATGATCTAACGGTAATAAACCCTAACGTAACCGTAACATCTTCCTGACTTATATTCCTAGACTAGAAGGTATTGTTCACATAAAAAAACAAAAAAAATAAAAAATGAAAAAGAAATTGTATTTGTTTGGTTGTGCATTTTTCTGGTACACATTTTCAATTTATTTGTTATCTTATCTATATTTTTAGGGAAATGCAATTGTTAAAAAAAAACTAGTATGACTTTTTATATTAATTTATTATTCTTAATATAAGTCTCTCTCTCTCTCTCTCTCACACACACACACACACACACGGAGAATATGGGTATCTATATATATGCAACCTGTATGCATATATACTGCCTACACAGAGACACCCGATCGCCTTCTTTTCTGGGTTCAGACTTCAGACTGTCATCCGCCAATCTCTGTTTCTCCGGACACTCACTAACACTCACTAACACAACACTGAAGCGTATTTCATGGGCGGTGCTACGAGACCTTGCGGATCCATGGAGGAATTCCTCAGCAAGTGTCAGCCGTCCGGTGACGCAGCCTACAGTGCGCTCCGATCACTCCTGGAACGCCTCGAGGACCCGAGTACCCGGACCGATGCCCGTGTCTTCCTTTCGGAGCTCCATAAGCGCTTTGAATCGAAGGAAGCCTCCGAGAGTTGTCTCCGGACCTACCATTTCCAGATTCAGGACATCTATCTCGGACCACACCAGGAAGGTAATCTCGTCATCTCGATATTGGAACCTCATTTTCGTAATTGTGTGCGTGTGTGTGTGTGTGTGTGTGTGTGGATGATTCTGGTTGTGATTTGAGGAACAAGTGTTTTGCCCGGCAATTTAAGGAGATTACACAGTGAATATTGGAATTTTTAGGAAACAGTGAAATGTGTTGATAAAGTGATTCGTTTTCGGATTATAGGTGATTTTGGGTGAATGTGCATACTTCTGACCATGAGTGACTGCTAGTTCAAATTTAGCTGATTTGAACGCACACCATTAGACGTTTGTTCTTTTCAGCTTGCGTAGTTGCTTTTGGATTGCAGGAGACCGATGGCTAATTAATTTGTTGCTTGGGATGAAAGTGTAACAAATTCGATGCGGCTTCCAATGTTATTACTATATATTGCTCATTTACTGTTAGTAGTGATTCGTTCTTTTCAAAATTCTGTTGAGGATTCATTTGATTGATTTAGTAGATCATCTTCTTAAATTGTGGCATACGATAATTTTAGCAATTGTTGAAGTAATATACTTTATCTTCATCGAAATGCTTTATTGGAATTTAATTAAGCCTGGGCTCTACATGAGTTGGAAATTGAGATTGCTTATTTAAGAGTTGTCTTCGGAGGAGCTTGAGTAGAGATCTTGTTGCAGTTCTCAAGCTCTTTAGGGTGATGAGACTTATTAAGGGCAATCCTTTTCGGTTCTCCATGGTAGACTAGCTCGCGTACTAATACCATGGTTTTGGTAAATCTAAGCAAGCAAATCCAAATACCAGAGATGTTTCTCTTCTATTTTTGTTTGTCCATTTAAGATTGCTGAGTCAACAACAACTCCATCTATTTGGTTGTCCATACGAGTTTTTGCTCTCTTATTTCTTAAGTACTAATTAACTAAATTCACTCGTTAGGGCAGTGACTTGAGATGAATTTATGCCTTCCTTTTTCACACTTGTAGCTGTATTCTCTTTTGTTTCTCCTGTTACAGATTTCCAAAAGAGGAACAAGCTTACGATGATGGTGATACCCAGTATCTTTATGCCCGAGGATTGGTCTTTCACCTTCTACGAAGGACTTAACAGACATCCAGATTCAATTTTCAAAGACAAGTCTGTGGCCGAACTTGGTTGCGGCAATGGATGGATATCCATTGCGATTGCAGAGAAGTGGTCACCCTCTAAGGTCTATCATTTTTTGATATTTGCTCCACTAATGACTTCGCCTTTGGTTCTGGCATCTTAATACATGTCCTAACATCCTGTTTTATTTCGAACTTCTGACTACTGTAATTAGAGACCGAAAGACTAGTGCGAAGAGGTTTCTTAACAAATTCAAACTCCGCTATGCAGGTATACGGGCTTGATATTAATCCAAGAGCAATAAAGATTTCTTGGATAAATCTTTATTTGAATGCTTTGGATGAAAATGGGCAACCAATTTATGACGCGGAGAAGAAAACTTTACTTGATAGGGTTGAGTTTCATGAATCTGATTTGTTGTCTTACTGCAGAGACAACCATATAGAACTCGAGCGAATCGTTGGATGCATACCACAGGTAATTCGTCGATTTAATGAAATGCTTCTGCAAATTTTATCAAGTGTGTACTTCGCTGTCTGCATAAGTCCTTAAAATATGTATATATGTTTGTTCTTGTGTTAAAAAAATAAAAATATTTTATGCAAGCCTGTAACACTTTGATTATTTTTCCATGCAGATTCTTAATCCTAATCCAGATGCAATGTCTAAAATTGTAACAGAAAATGCTAGCGAAGAATTCTTACATTCCCTGAGCAACTATTGTGCCCTCCAGGTTGGAACTTGCTTCATTTTCATTAATCCAGTATACCAGATATACTGGACTTCGACATAGATTCCTTTTTTCATTCCTTCTACTTTTGTATTTGAATATATTTATACTGACAGATAATAACTGGATTATATTTTAAAAGTATATTTACACAATAAAACTATGGTTGGAAATTGCAAAAAAGAAAACTATCTTCTGGGAAAATTTCTGTCTTGCATACTTGTATTATCCCGTGTGTTCACTGATGCTTCATCGTGGAATTCCATCTTTGTTGTCAATTGGCATTTACTTTATTCTGTTAGCCTATTTGCAATGGCTACACAATGAATTATCTGTTCATTTCAAATGTTGAAAGTATTTAACACTTTAAATACCTTTTTGTGCTGACATTCTGAATTGAAACTTATAGGAGCTGTTTTACTATTTCATTTATTTATGTTATTCTTCCTAGGGCTTTGTTGAGGACCAGTTTGGTTTGGGACTGATTGCAAGGGCTGTTGAAGAAGGGATATCTGTAATTAAGCCTCAGGGGATTATGATCTTCAATATGGGAGGCCGTCCAGGACAAGCCGTATGTGAACGTTTATTTGAGCGCCGTGGTCTGCGTTTTAATAGGCTTTGGCAGACTAAAGTTCTCCAGGTTCTACTCTAACTTGACGGCTTTGATGATATACATGGAAATATCTATCTATAAAGATCTCTTGTTGCAGGCTGCTGACACAGATATCTCAGCACTAGTTGAGATTGAAAAGAACAGTCGACACCGTTTTGAATTCTTCATGGGACTTGTTGGAGACAAACCAATTTGTGCTCGAACAGCATGGGCTTATGCCAAAGGCGGAGGTCGTATATCTCATGCTTTATCAGTATACAGCTGTCAACTCCGTCAACCTAGTCAGGTAAGATGTTTCTCATGTGCTTTTGTGGGCCCAAGCAAAAAATCTTCGTGTAAATCTCTCTGGGGACATGAGGCATCATATCCTTATTCTGTAACAGGTGAAGAAGATTTTTGAGTTTCTCAAAAATGGCTTTCATGATATCAGCAGCTCTTTGGATTTGTCCTTTGAAGATGACTCAGTTGCAGATGAGAAAATTCCATTCCTAGCTTATCTTGCGAATGTTCTAAAAGAAATCTCATTTTTTCCATATGAACCACCTGCCGGAAGCAGACGATTTCGTAGTCTCATATCTGGCTTTATGAAAACATACCATCATATTCCACTCACTGCAGATGTAAGGAAGTTTCTGTATCAATGTATCTTGATACTTTTTTGCGGTTATTAGATTTCTTACCTGATCTAACGTTTTTGGTGTTTGCTTCATGTTAGCCTATACGAAAACCTACCTTTTAGACTTCTTAGGTGCAAAACTATGACGAGTATAAAAACTGGAAATACGAAGTGTGGCATGAAATAGAGCCTTCGTAAACACACCCAAGTGAAAAAATGTTACACAGTACCAGATGCTTTAACATTAGTTGTGTCTGTTTTGTGTATATATCTAAATTGCATGGTTTTGGGTGCACAGTTGCATGTGCATAGGCAAATGTTTAGTTTGTGATATATTTCTCGCTAGAATTTTGTACTGAAACAAGATTTTGAAAGAATGAGTTTTTGAGTGCTATAGGATATGTGATAAAAAAGGTGATTATTTTAAATTGATATAAGAAAAAAGTTAATTGAACAGTTGGTGCTTGAAAATATGTGCATGAGTCTACAGTATAACTTATACAAAAATATTTAGTTATTATTAATCAGTTGATGGATATTTCTCCATCTTGACTATCTTCGCCATAGTTGAATCAAGACTACCAAAAGTTCACCAGCTAAACATGGGGACATAATTGGATAAAGTAGATTATTGTTATTTCTAATTATCATGCCATTATTTCGAAAGACCTACTTAGAGACGAGTAATGCTCCCCTACCCACGGTGGGCACATTTTAATATGTCCACCGCTTATGTGGCATGTACACATTGGTGATGTATTTTTTAGAACATATTAACATCACCAATGTGTGCATGACACACAAGCGGTGGGCATATTAACATGTGCCCACCGTGGGTAGGTGAGCAATAATGCTTAGAGAACTATGACAAGCATTAGGCTAGTCTGTTTTCCTGGATGACTGTTGGTTTTTATGTCAGAGTCGTTCTCTGGTGGTTGGGTTATTATTATATTCCATGAATATTGACCATCTGGTAATTGTATATGATGCCCACAGGGTAGCAACTATTTTAGCAATCTGCCTTTTGGGTTTATGTTCTTTCACTACATATGAGAATTTGAGTAGGACTTCTGTAGTTAAAAAGGCTATCAAATGATGTGCTAGGGTGATACAAGGAGAGGTGGGGTGAGGTGGAGAAGGTGAAGGGTGCTCTTTCTCTTTGTAAAGAGTATTACCATAGCATATTGTTCTTCAGTAGATTAAAGTGAAGTTATTTCCCGTAAGAAGGCATCAAGAGTTAACAAGTTCTATGTATACCATGTGTCAGCTTCATAAGGCACTAAGACTTCACTTTTTCTGTATATTTTGACTCTAATGACATGCTATTCTCTCGTGTGGTTGCATCTAATGTTGTGTGCATATCTAAGATGATTTATCTGATAAACTAACTATTCTTCCACAAGGATAGTCAAGTGGAATTTTTAAGATGCCTCACAATGTAAATTTGATACAATCTAATTTATTCTTTGATGTTGCCTTTGTCGAGCTAGAACGTTGTTGTGTTTCCTTCGAGGACTGTGGCTATAGAAAGCACTTTACGTCTGTTGTCCCCACGCCTCGCCATTGTTGATGAACAATTGTCTCGACATTTACCAAGGCAATGGTTGACATCCCTAAATATTGAGGTATGGTGATTATGAAAGTGGTTTGCTCTCCCTCGCACCATCTTTGTGTTCTGCAAATTGTTACATACAGTTCAGATGAAAAATCAGCTTCTTCTCCAATCCTTTGAGTTGAGCCAATAAAGTTCGGATTAATACTCTAGATAATTTTGTAACAGCATCCAAATTAAATCAAGTTAAGCATTTATGAAGGAAATAATAATGTTAACAATAAAACAGAGTCAGCAGACAGTATATAAGTGATTTTTATTTTTTATTTTTTATTTTATACTGATGGAAAGTAGAAGGAATCAATGAAAAGTTACTGGTTATCAAATAGTTTTTGCTATGCTTTCCCCACTTCTTAGACTTTCTAGTTATTGAAGGTGAACGTGTTTGATGGTTTGAACTTCAACTATACTTGTTCTGCTATTTAACAATTCTGGAATGACTTATTTCACAATTCTAGACATGGATCATAAGCTACGTATTAGATGTGCTAAGACTAAGAGATGTTCAGTTCACTATTCTGTGCAGGAAATGCTTGTTTTTTAATCTTTCAAACATGCCCAAGTTACATATAACATTTAACTATAAATCACTATAAAATTGTTTCCGCTATACTGCTACTACATATTTAGGTTGCCTCAGCATTGCACTGGCACTCTTGGAGATCAGTGAAGAACATGAATTAGTCATAAGAATCCTTATATCCCTGCTTATTGAGCATAATGCATGTGCAGACTTGGGATGTTTTTTGATCCCTTTTGGCATCTTTAAATTTAAAAGCATCCCTTTTGACATCTTTAAATTTCCTCTGCAGAAGGCAGAAAGTGGAAAATCTGTGGATGAAGCAATTACAGTCATCGAGGCACCACGCCAGTCAGATTTGATGGTAGAGCTGATTAAAAAATTGAATCCACAGGTAGTAGTTACTGGAATGGCTCAATACGAGTCTGTCACGAGTTCCTCGTTTGAGCATCTCTTAGACATTACAAGAGAAATCGGATGTCAGTTGTTATTGGATATATCAGACCACTTTGAGCTGTCTAGCCTACCAAGTTCCAATGGAGTCTTTAAATATCTTGCTGGAAATGCTCTGCCTTCACATGCATCTATTGTATGTGGCTTGCTGAAGAACCAGGTACTTAAACTGCTGTTGATGCCATAGGTGCTGATTAAAATACTTGAGACACGCACCAGAGATAACAAACACTTAAAAGTAACTTTTATTGTTAAGGGGAAAAGAACTTGCCATCTTTGTAGAATTGAATGTATCATTGAGAATTGTTGCAATGATACCTTGAGAAGACTGATACGAACCTCAAGGGGTTGTACTGTGTGTAATTCTGGGAAGATAATTGGGTCTGTTCGTTATTATGCTACACTTCAAGGAGACTTTTGTGACTATCCCCAAAGATAAATGGGTTTGATTGTTATTATGCTACACTTCAAGGTTGTATATATATATGTGTAGTTTTGGGAAAATGGCTGAGTCTGATTGTTATTTGCTACACTTCAAATCCCAGGTTTATGCAGATCTGGAGGTGGCATTTGTGATATCAGAGGAAGAGACGATGTTCAAAGCATTATGCAAGACAGTGGAACTTCTACAAGGGAGTACTTCTATAATTAGTCAGTTTTATTACGGGTGTCTTTTCCATGAGCTTCTAGCTTTTCAGCTTTCTGATCGACATCCACCAGCACAGGTTAGCCTATCCTGATTTTACTGAGAGTTGGTACTCATATTTGCAAATGATTTTATTACTGGGGGATCAGGATTGGCAAATAATGTATTAAATATCAGAGAACCTACATTCTTTTAATAACTTCATGAGGCATTTTTATGTGTAAATGTGAACCAACAGCAATTCAAACCCCTAGTTTCTTGAAACACATAATTTCACAGGCCTTATTTACACAAGTCAACTAATGACTTGCGAATTCTTTTGCAGACTGAATATTAGTGTTGGTCAAACGATGCGTTCTTGGTCTGTTACACCAATCTAAATTTGCAATATAGTATAAATGTTTTTACATAATCTAATGACGTGCCAAGATTTTTTCTCATCGCCAGAGAAATGCTGCAACTACAAGAGCTTCTAAGGTCAACGGCTTCTCCACTTCCACCATCTCAATGCTCGATCATGCTGAGTTGGCAGTAAATGAACCCGATGAATCTCAACTGGTGCATATGGACGTTGATCAGATCTTCTTGCCCATAACAACACCTGTTAAGGCCTCCATCTTTGAGAGTTTTTCAAGGCAGAACATAACAGAATCTGAAACTGACATCACAAATGGCATCAAACAATTGGTCAGCAGCAGTTATGGCTTCCCGTCATCCACCAACACGGAACTTACATATGCCGACCGCCCAATTTCACTTTTCAGCAAGTTGGTACTGTGCTGTATCCACGAAGGCGGTACCCTCTGCTTCCCAACCGGTACCAATGGAAATTACGTCTCTGCTGCAAAGTTTTTAAATGCGAAAATTGCAAAAATCGAAACCAACCCAGGAGAAGGATATAAACTGACAGAAAAATCACTTACTGCTGCACTCGAAAATGTTAAAAAACCATGGGTCTACATTTCGGGCCCGACAATCAACCCCACAGGCTTACTTTACAGTAATGAAGATATTAACAAATTATTATCCGTGTGTGCCAAGTTTGGGGCAAGAGTAATTCTGGATACTTCGTTTTCGGGTGTGGAATTTAACTCCAAGGGGTTCGAGGGTTGGGAATTGGGAGCGACCCTGGAAAAACTTTCCTCTGCTAGCTCAGCCTTTTGCGTTTCACTTCTTGGGGGATTGTTTTTTAAAATGCTGACGGGTGGGATTAATTTCGGATTTCTGCTCATCAACCAGCCTTCACTGGTGGAGACATTCCATAGCTTTGCGGGCTTGAGCAAGCCTCATGGGACGACCAAATACACTGTCAAGAAATTGCTGGATCTAAGGGAGGAGAAAAGAGGGGACCTGCTGAATGCGATTTCTGAACAGACGGATATTTTGGGTAGTAGATATAAGCAATTGAAGCAGGTAATTACATTTTGTACTCGTTTTATATAGAAGTTGTCAATTATAGAAGAAGTACCCTGACATTTAGTTTGATCACTAAAAGAAGCATTTAGATATCAACGTTACAAGTTCCTCTTTATCACTTGTTCACTTCTTTTGCAAATTTCTGCAAGGAAAAAGAGGTATATGAAATTTTGGAAAAAACAATTGGGGATATTTTGTAATTATTAATTTAAATCTCAGGGGTTACTTTTTTTTTTAATTATTTGTATTTCATAAAACCGGAAAGCGGTACCTCCAATTCCAATGCTGACAAAATAACTATCTCGTGATCTCTTATGTACCAGACACTGGAAAGTAGTGGATGGGATGTGCTCGAGGCTCAAGCGGGCGTATCGATCATAGCAAAACCGTCAGCTTATCTTGGAAAGACCATCAAGATCAACAAAGGCACGACCACCCAGGAAATTAAGCTTGATGACTTGAATATAAGAGAAGCCATGCTTAGAAGCACCGGCTTGTGCATCAACAGTGCCTCCTGGACTGGAATCCCCGGTTACTGCCGTCTCACCATTGCCCTGGAGGACGGCGATTTCAAACGCGCACTAGATTGCATTTCTAAATTCAAAAGCTTATTTGGTTAAGTAGAATAAAAGAAAAAGGAAAATCACTTTTTTTTTGTTGCTTTTCCACTCAAACTCTAGTTTTTTTTCTTTTCAGAACTTTGGTGTTGTGAAATGAATTTATTCAGAGTGGCCAGATGATAGTGAGAGCTGCTCTTTGTTTACTGCAAACTGGATTCTGCCTTATGGCCCTTATATTTGAATAATTTGTTGCTTGGTTCAAATAAATGCAATCTTCATCAGACTTGGGAAAAACTTTACCTGACAAATCATTCTAAACGAAATCCGAGATGAAATTACAAGTGAACTTGACATTAAGTAGGGAAAAACGGGATTTTCGCAAAGGTAATCTGCCTTCCTATCCTTTTAGGACTGTAGAGAAATCAAAATCCAGGTAGTTTCTCTAACCTTCCTCGAACCGCCTGTTAATTTACTGAGAGTCGTCTGGTTTACTCCACCATATAAGGATTGCTCGGTCCCTCGTATGCGTTATCTTCCCAGCCTTGATCCAGTCACCTAGACATAATTGGGCCTCTAAGCAATCGGGAGACATAGTTGATTGTTTCTCGCTCAATATGTTGCCTCCTGTGTGAAATACTTGCTCCAGGGAAACTGTCGAGGCCGGACAAGCGAGAACCTCTTTTGCCATCCGTGATATTACCGGGAACTTGTCTTCACTTGCATGCCACCATTGTAGCACATGCTCGATATTAGCAGTGAACGGATTCTCTAGATAATTCTCGAGCTCGTGTTCTAGGAATTTTTTCCTTTCTCTTCTCTTCTTTTCAAACACTTTCTTCATAAAATCTTCATAGGTATTGAACTTCTTCGCACTATCCCCAGTATCCTTATCCCCAGTATCCTGTCTTTCGGGTTCGGTAAACTTTTCACCATACTTGGCCTTGTACTCGTGGTAGAAATTATTCAAGTGCTCTCTAACGTCGTTCTCGATAAGAGTTGGTTCAGGGGAATGCTCATCTTTGACCGGGACTAACTGATCGTAATACGTTGTCAGATGATGTCCCAGATCAACGAGTCTAACCCAAGGGTCAAAGACAATAGCAAGTAAATTAATCATTGGGAGGTTCACACAATGTATTCCCAATCTGTTCCTCATCGCCTCAACACAATGCCTTAGATCCTCATCCTCCCGAATCTGACTCAACTTTGATGAAAGGAATGCCAAATAATGCGACGGTAAGCTCGGAGTCGAGTCATCACCATTTAACATTAATCTGATTCCATCATCCAACTGTTCGAGAAGGCTACACACCTTTTCGCACACCACCCATTGATTTGGACACAAGTGTATTTCTTTGACATTTTCCGCGAAAAATGCGCTCAACAGCTCTTTGTACTCGAGAGACTTTTGTAATAACAAAAACGTCGAGTCCCAACGTGTTGGGACCTCTCGTGAAAATTTCTCGGGCTCCATACTGTTGGCTTTGCAAAATTTACCCCAGTGCTTCATTACTCGTGGGTTCGACCACAAATATCCAATCGCTTGCCTAATGGGTCTTAGCTGAAGTTCGACGTGCTGTAACCCATCTCGTGCACATAAACTTAAAACCCGGCATGCATCTATAAAAGGAAAGACTTTACAACCAACCGAGGACTCGATCGCAGCCTTTAGATCCTCCACACTATCAATATTTGAACCAATACATTCCAACAATACCGCAAAGATCTTACCCGTTAATTCGTATTCGTCCAACACCGACTGTATGGTTCGACAAATGCTTTCAGCCGTGCGCTCTCCTACGATCATTCTGAACGCCAGCAATCTTCTCTGGACGAACCAAGAATCATCTACCCAGTGACAAGTAACCGAAACATACGAATGCACTTGCCAAAAATCGCACCAAATTTCAACAGACAAAGAAACTTTACACTTGACAGCTGCAAATTGGTCGATCAAACCGTATCTGCCTTCTGAATATAAATTTGTGAGTCTGTACTCGAGCGCAGAAGTTGGAACACGTTCGGCAGCAGGGTTTAACGACAGGCAGAGATTTTCAAAAGTGGGTTTCTTGCCAAAATTAAGAGGGAGATTCTCAAGGGCAACAAATTTAGCTAGATTATCTACAAAATCATCACGAGAACTTTCAAGAAAGGCATCACTGTTACTTTGAGGATATGGGTTTTCTGTGATACTCTGTAGGAAGCCGCCGGGACGGTTGACCGTCTTTTCCCCGCTCGAGCTTGAACCAGCCATCCCGTTCGAGCTTGAACCAGCCATTGATGACTCAAATAAAAAGTTAACTTATGGGCTTGAGAGAAAATGCAGAAGGGTTGAGAGAAAATGGAGATAATTTGAATTTGAAACAGTTGAAACTTGAGAGTTGAGAGATTTTATTTTATTTTTTTTTGGTGAGAAAAAATTGTGGGCTTGGGGCGATTTAAAGGGGTGACCTAACCTCACCAACGGTAAAATTCTCTAATCCTAAAAAGAATTAGTAAATGGGTAAGACTACCCGACTACAGTCTCGTTATGGAACCATTTCATTGGAATGTGTAAACCGTCAGATGCATATGTAGATTAAATTTTAATGGAAGGATTTCATAACGGGATTATAGCATTTTCTTTAATTATATGGGAACCGGGCGGTTAGCCTGTTCCAACAGCTCGAAGCTATGAGAAAAAGTGGAACCGCCGGTTCCCAGATGCATTATTTTTATTGGAGAAGAAATCAGTCTTCTTGTCTTTTAGTGAAGGGAAAACAAAACAAATGAAGTCGAAGAACATACGGATATCACCCATAAAAACAACGACATGAAAAGGCCGATTCTACATTCGATTCAGGCCATTTTCAGTCGGACCCTTACGACAACAATCAAAAAAATTCACGCCGACAACACCCTAAAAAATATGTTATGCACTGAATACATGTTCTGTGCATGTTTTGTATATGATCTTTGAGTAGAGCAAACTGTATCAGTCTGTATATGTTATGTATGTGTTCACTATATGTAACAACTGTATCAGTTCTGTATGTGTTATGTATATGTTCTTGACTATAATAATCTTTTATCTTTTGTATATGTTCTGCATATGTTCTACAATAAAACTGGATCAACGATGAGGAGATGTATAAGTTCTGTAATTGGAAATATCTAAGTTCTGTTTTCAAGTCATCAACAGGGACTGATTTTCTGATATTATGTATACTTTCTTCTCGTGTTTTCTCATACTTTTGAATTTTCAAATTTTTAACTCTTTTTTCCATTAGATATGAAAGTATAATACAGATTATTTGGTGGAACACACTTACCTTATTTTTTAATCTCATCTTTACGTGATTATAGGAAAGTGGATTAATAAGGTAACAGAAATTTCTGTTTTATCAACAAATAAAAGCAATTCAATAGGTATCCATGCAATTAAGATCACGACCCTAGTATTTTTACAATTTTTTTTTTTTTTTTTAAATCTTGTGGCATTTATTTGATCTTCCCATATATTATTATCTTGTACCTTATATTTTAAATAGTTATTTACATTAGTTCAGGTTAGGCCTGTTAACGAATCAATTATGAATACCAATTATGAATAAAAGTTGGTTTATGTTCGATAAGAACTCGTGGATTTGTTAATTGAACAGAGTTCGAACAAATAATTACTCATTTAATAATCTAACGAACATGATCTCATTTGTAAATATTAATATAATTTATTTTTTTTTTGTATATTTACATGACATTTTAAGTGAATTGCTATACAATGCTCTCTTGGACCGTTTTGCCCCTGACTGTTTTCCCGTATAAAAAAGTATATAGGGGCACCTAGCCGCCTGGCGCAAGTACCTTCACAACTGTCTAGCCGTCTAGACGTCGTCTATGCTGAAGCGCCTAGAATGACCGTTTAGGCAAAAGTCGTGGCACCTAGGTGCCGCCTAAGCAGGTCCTAGTACATTGTTCATATTACTATTTAATCAAATATCTCTATTTAGATACTCTTCAGTATTTGTTTCACACATTAAAACGTTGTATGGCTCATAAACAAAAAATAAACAAAAAATTAACACAAAAATGTTGGTAATCCCACATAAAAGCACTATCATTTTCTAAACCCTGAAAATTATATGAATGACGTATATAGTACATAACTTATGTAATGTACGGGCTATATTTATTTAAGAAAGATTATAAATTTAAAGTTATTCGACAATAAAAACTTTAGTAAAGATGATAGTTAAAAGAATTATATCAAAAGAAAAATGGGAATATCTCCATTAGCGAAAAATAGGTCTTAGCATCCAAAGAGTACCCAAGTACCATTGAAGATAACTAGTACGTGACAATAATTATAAACAACGTGTATTAAACCAATGAAAGAATGATGAATATCAATATTCTTTTTTTTTTTTAATTTTAGGACATGTAATAGTCGGATATAATTTATATGTTTATTTCACTCGTTATAATATAGTTGACATTTTAGAGTTCATGTTTATAATTAAATATAATGAAAATTTAACATAGTCAAACATTGTCAATAAATAATACTCACATGCTCTCTCTCTCTCTCTCTCTCTCTCTCTCTCTATCTCTCTCTCTCTCTCATAGCTTATTTGCACACATATATAATTTTTACAATTTATTTCTTTTTTTTTTTTTTTTTTCGGGAACGATAGAAATACTATAGAAGAGCACAAAAGTGCAAAAGAACAAATTACAAGATCCCAACAGGGTAATAAGACAGGGGCCAACGGCCCAAACCAAAAACACTCCTAAAAACAAACATGAATAGAAACCTGAGAGGACACGCACATTGCGGCCTAGAGAACTCCACAAATGAAATATAAAGGAAAATGAAAAACAGAGCCACTGCATAATGCCTAGCTTGTATTCATCTCCAAAACAAAAATGAACAAACACATTGAGCAAAATAAAAGGACAAACTACAAAACAAACCCGAAAGTAGAAAACTAAACGACCCTCCCTCGGAGAACCGACTAAACCGAAGAAGCAGCTACAACCGACTCTAAGTTAGGTCCCTAGCCAAGTCCCAACCCCCGAAACTGCCGAAGGCCTAACAAGAGGTGGGACCCCGCCCCCGAACCCCACCCAAAAGACAGAACCCACTGACCGAGGAGAACCGGCCTAGCAACCCCAACCGGATGAACCCGAGCTAAACTAACACCACTAGCCCATCTCCGGTTTACCGAATCCCTAGCAACCCAAAAGGAGATGCGCAGGGATAGTCGCTCCCTGCCCGAACCCCAACTCCGGCAACCGCCACGCACAACACACAACAGCCACCAGAGCCCCTCCCAACCACCACCATCGCTTCCCCGCCACCACGGCCGCAGGCTCACCTTCTCCCTCACGTCCCTACTGCCAACCACACAGCAGGAAACTGAACTTCTGCTAAGCGCCCGAAAACCCAAACCATCGCCCAGAACCACCAACCCCAGGCATCCAATCGGGCCGAAACAAGCCCAGGCAGTCGTCCCCGCCGGAGAACCGCTGAGCCCCAATCGAACCCTAACCCCCAAAACGCACCCTGCACCAAGCCCACCAAAGATACCAGACCAAGGCAAAGAACAACAAACGGGGCTCCCAACCGCAACGAGCAGCTCCGACGAGCCCCGATTACGACCGGGAACCGCCACCGGTCCCCCACCCACCAACGAACGAAGAGACGAAAGAAGAAGCCATGGCTGCGAAATCGAGTAGAAACGATGCCAGGGAAAGAAAGGGCGGCCAGCGGCGGCCGCAGATCCGGCCTCGCCGCCGGCGGAAGAGGTCAGATCGGGACAAAGCGAGAGGCGACGTGAGAGGGATAAACAGAGGAAAAAATCGTCGTACTTTGTCGTGCTATCCAAAATAATATACTTCTATGTATGCCTTTTATAGTTTATTGAATAATTGATTTCTTGTTTTTTTTTTCATTTATTTTTAAATTGTATTTTTTTTATTCATAACTACTTTGTCAATAGTTTATGTATGATTTTATTTTGAATGTTACATTTTTTTTTAATTTAAAAAGCGTCCTAAACTTATAAAACAACTCTTAATATTATACTTAAGATTAAATGAATTTTCATTGGAGAAATGATTTAATTTGGATGTAGAAGTTTGTGGCCATAACGATTGGTTGTTCT